CTAACCCTAACCCTACCCTAAACCTAACCCGAACCCTAACCCTAACCCGAACCCTAACCCCCTAACCCTAACCCTAACCCTAACCCTAACCCTAACCCTAACCCTAACCCTAACCCTAACCCTACCCTAACCCTAACCCTAACCCTAACCCTAACCCTAACCCTAACCCTAACCCTAACCCTAGTTAGAACTTAAAGTGTCCCGCTTCGGCATCCAACTATACTATAACTTATGTCAACTGTGCTGCACCCTTTACAGACGCACATATAACATTGCTTTCCAATAGAACCAAAGCCCCGTAGTTTGATCAAAATCACCCAAGTTACAATACTCGTCAGCATTACAACTTGATTTGTCTACGTCCGGGACGTTAGGACACAGTTTCGCATAGTCCAATTCAAGGAGGCAAAGCGTCTCGTCCCACACGAACGGGTTGGAATCAATACGGCTCTCAATTACATTGAGAACCAGCTTGCTCGAACGCGTTGTCTCGTTACGAGCATGCTTCTTTGTCAGAGAAACACGAACCGCCTTAGTATCGTCGCGAGTCATACCGCTCGAATCCATTTCGACACCTGTTGAGTGGACAAAGTTGCAGAGAATAAGTGCGGGAGATGTACACGTTGCCCAAGTGTCGCGGATGCAACCTATGTTGCTCAAGTCGAATAAAAAGGTGTTACTGTCGATCTTTGAGAATGCTAACGCATCTTCCGCTTCCAGTACCGTAAAGCCGAGAGACTCGAGCCCTTGGGACTCAACTTTGTCGTAAGCAGGATCTGATACAAACACCTCGACCGTGCCTGCGCCTGGTTTTCCGCGAGCTTCAAAGTACTGTGCCGTGGTCATAGCCATCGCATGCTGGCAGAGATTTGCGATTTTGCACGGCTCGGGGAATTCTTTGTCATCGTAGGGACACTCGCGGAAAAGTGAACAGCATCGGAAAGAGCTAAGGCAGGATCCAAGCCCCAAGCACACTACCTTGTTGATCGGTGAAAGCAGCTCGATTTGGTCCAGGAGCGTCTCGAAATCTCGCCTGTCCTCGCTAGTCTCCCAAATCCGTATAACGGCGGCAAAAGCGTCCTGTAGATGTGCGATGTCGTCGCTAGCATTTAATGAATCCTGCTCTGCTAGTCTAGCCTCTTCTTGTGCAGGAGAGCGGCCATTGGACTCATGATCCTTCGTGAACGGTGTGTCGATTGCGTCCTCATCCTCGAGGATGGTATCGATGTCGAAATTGCCTAGACCAGATACGGGGTCGATATCGATCTTGCCTCTGCGAACCATGTGCATGATTTTTTGGTCTCGAACCTCCTTCCGACGAATGGACTCCAAGAATTCAAGTTGACGTTTCTTGAAGTATGTGAACCACTGGTTGATGATGCGTTGCCGGTCGGATTCAGGAAGGGCTTCTAGTCTCGTTTTGTCCGGCAGGCAAATAGGCGTTGGGGATGTCTTGGACTTGTGTCGTTGTTCGCGAACTTTCTCTTTTTTGCTGCGTCTGCTCTTGCTCTGCTTCTCTTCCCTTCTTTTCTCCATTTTGGCTGTCTTCCTCTGTCTTCTTGCGGTATCTGTGGAATCCATTGTGGTGCAAATGATCTGTTCTTGCGCGGGCACAGATTGATGATGGAGTGGATGTGTTCAATGTTGGTTAGGAGTGAGGGGAAACGGTAGGAGGGAAACGGTAGGAGGGAAACGGCAGGTAACTCGAGGGAACCGAAAAAAATTGAGATGAATGATAACCTAGGTTAGGGAAGAAGAAAAGAAGAGAACTTGGGAGCTGGGCATCCTACCTCTATATATAGAACAGGAAGTTCGGAATTAGCACGCCTTATGCTTTGAATCATATAATATTCTCGGAGTTCCGTGGCGGCGCGCAAGGCACTCTGCAATTGTGATTATGCCCGAAGAACAATGCACGACATAAACGCAGCTGGCGAGAAAACAACTTCGCCATCGGATACCGCGTTTCCATGGCCGTCTCGGAACGTGAAGTTCTACTAGGAAAATCGGAGTCCGATTCCTACATAGCCATCAAACTGTGCAAAGCTGCCTTGTTGTTCCCGTCTCCGGCGTCCGGTCGTGCTAGCGGTATAATTGGATGCAACCGGTAGTCCGGTATCGTGGGCGAAGAAAAAAAAGGAAGTCATGCAGGAGGCTTTTCAACTTGCATTTCCGAATCATTCAAGTTAGGGTGAGGGTTAGGGTTATCTGCCCTTATCATGACAATCTTATCAATTGAATCATTATCGGCATATCACCACGTGATAGCCCTCATCGACACCATCCCGTCGAGTAAAGAAGGTGCGGGGTACGTAACTCTGATGGTTGCATGAGCTTTTAGACCGATGACGTCTGCGCAACTCTTCCTCTGTTTACACCCACACAAGGCAACCACAATGGCCCCGCGACACATGATTCGTTTCCAACCAGTCCGCGGCTGCCAAACTGTTCAGGTGGTCGTCCCGGAAACACGAACATTACGCAAAACCTGGAAATTGCTGGTTGTACCGACTCCGACTCGATTGCACTCGAAGGAAATGGGCTGAAAAACACATCTTGATCCGTCTGGGTGTGTCGCGCCCATTGCCCTTCCTCTCTCCATCATCCTCTTGCTCGACGTTCATCAAACGTTTTCCGCTTCCTCATCTATCCTAGTATTATCCAACCTCATTATCCAGCTATCGGCGACACCACGCTACCTACAACTACTTATCAACAGGGGCCTTTGCTTCTGCCGTCACATCTCGCTTTCCCGTCGCCAGAGAACATTCCATCATGACGAAGCGCATCTTGCTGCTGTGCTTTATCCACGGCTTCAAGGTCTGGTTCTCCCATTCTCCTGGAGACAGTTCCCATTCTCCTCATGACAGCACCCCACAGTTTTGCTGACCTTTCCTGCAACAGGGAGACGATGACACCTTCCGCGATTTCCCAAAGCACCTCAAAGAAACCGTCACGAGCAACCTCCTCGACCACCATGTGGCGTCCGTCGTGTATCCAAAGTACGAGACCAAAGGCGAGCTGGGCCAGACCACCGAAGCTTTTCTAGAATGGTACGCAAACAAGAAAACAAAACAGGCGCTGTGGTGTCAACAACTGACGGTCAATAGGCTCAAGGAGCGGGTGATGGAACTTCGAAAGGAACATCTGCAAGCACCATGGCCTCCCACCGACCGGAATGTCGGCGTGATACTGGTCGCACATTCAATGGGGTATGTCCACGATTTGTCCCTTCCCGTAGGTACTTCTGCGGTTCTTCACTAACACCCCAAAGCGGCTTTGTTGCAAGTGATACCCTCTTCCGCATCCTCGACGAACGCCGCCGCAACGCCGAATACGAGAACCCGACCGGTCCCATCTTCCCCATGATCCAAGGTATCCTCGCCTTCGACACTCCCTACAATGGTCTAGCCCGGTCCATGTTCGTCTACGGCGCCTTCTCGAATTACCAAAAGGTCTCCAACGTCTTCAACGTCATGACGGCTCTCTCCGCCGCCGCCCCAGCTACACTCGCGAGTCTCGCCTCGAAACGCACAGCTGTGGCCGCTACCAAGGCCGTTTCCCGCAGCATACCGGTTCCCCGGCGATCGCACCCAGCGCTCAAGGCGTGGCAGCTGATTGCTGTGCGTACAGGGACGGTCGGTGTCATTGCCGCGGGTGGTGTGGCGGCCTTCATGCACAGGAAACAGATCCTCGAGGGCATGCGCACGGTCAAGAACCTGAAGAAGGAGGACGTGGTCCAGGGATATCAGCAAAGCGTCGATGCGCTCGGTCAGGGGCTGGCATACATCAACCGTGGCAATGTCGGGCAGTCCTTTGCATGGCTGTCTGATCACTTTACCTTTGTCGGCGCTTTACTGAAACAAAACGAGCTGAACCGACGACTGGAAAGACTGGCCGCTGTGAAGGGAGTTGGAATTAAGGACATTTATGCGTCGCTTGGAGAGAATGGCTACTGGAGTGGTGGTTACTTTGTGCCTGAGCGGACATTCTGTGCCATACCCGGGGAGGGCCAGCCGTGCAATGCGCTCTTCAGCAGGCATGTCGTTCCCGAGGCCAAGGATGAGATCGAAGCACATGTCAACCTCTTCAAGCCGGAGAAAAACAGGGGCTACGAACGGATGACCAACGAAGCTGCCCAACTGGTTATCACCTGGTTCAAGGACGAGACTGACATATGGGACGACCCCAAGTTCGCCGAGCCGGCCGAACCAGAGACTGTCGAGACGGAGGAGATTGCCAAAGCGATCGATGAAGCAGACCAAGAGGCGAAGACTGCGGAGGAGAAGGTCAAGGAGGCCGAGAAGAAGGTGGGCGAAGAAGTCGACGAGGACGACTCAGGTGGGGATGGCGTCCCCGACGAGTCGCCTATCGACATTGCCGCTGCCGCTTCGCTTGTGCCCCTGCCTGACGACCTCGAACACGCGGAGGATGGCGACGGCACTGCAGACCCCGATAAGAGAAAGGCCATTAGCGAACAGAAGCAGGCCTACATGCGACACTTATTTGGCGTCGCTCAGCAGACAGGTACCAATATCCGGTCGTACCTGCCATCCAAGCTACCTGAGATGCCAGAGTGGGAGATGCCCAAGGTTTCCATGCCCAGCGTTAGTATGCCGAGCATGCCTGGCATACCAAACATACCGAGCATTGGGAAATACAGTCTCTGGGGTTCCAAGAAGTCAGAGACGTCCCAGTCTTCGGAGACAGAGGTCAAGCCGGACACTAGCACCGACAAGACTGAGACCGCGGATGCCAAGTCGGAGATAGAGACACCAGACACTGCGGCTGACAAGATCTCTGCACCCAAGGCGGAGACGGCCGATGCTTCTGGGAGTGCTTGATGGGAGACAACAAAGAAACGTGTTGGTGATGATAGGAGATTGCCGTCTGGTAGGTGTGTACGGTAGAAGTATGCAGATGTCGTTGTCCTGATTCGGGATCTCGCTTGAGGTTGACGTTCTGAAGCCACAATCGATAGTTCTTGCTTGCCTGTTGCGACTTCATCCTGCTGTGCTGGCGCATGCGGTGCCAATGCGGTTGTGGTTTTCCTCGGAGGCTGTCTCTGGCCGATGTTGCCGTCCACGTTTTCGAATCGCTTTGGGTTTGGCCTTCTGATATCTGTTTTCACGAACACGATTCGCTTTTCTCTTCCTCCTTTTTTCTTCTTTGCTCTTCGTGTTCTCCATGTAGGAAAGTCCACCTCACCCTCTCAGCATCCTCGGGACCTCGAGTAACCCCGATGTTCCGGGTTTCATTTGCGGTATTTCTTTGTCGCACAGACACGCTTCATTGGTGTTGCAGTGGTTGGTGTTGATCTGCTCACCTTCGCGCTCGGCGTCTTATTCCGAAATAGGAAGTTGGCGATGCATTTATGGCGGGGAAGACCCCAACGGGGGAACTGGTTGCGGGGTGGTGACTGATTGTCGACGAATCTTACCAGCGAGCGCGCATGCCACGATGATACTTCATACCGATAAAGTGATGCAGATCATTCAAGGAAACAGAAAAGGGAAGTTCGTTTTTCTCCACAAAGTTTTCGTCCCACGAGATCCCACGAGATTGCCGCATGCATGTGTAGTGTAATGGAACAGATGGAGAGATGCGTGGTCTTATCGCGGTTATCTACTGGTGGACAAAGGTTGGTCAAAGATAGCCAATCCCAAATAGGCACTTATACATCACCCCCGAATGCGACGGATGAGGAGTCAGGGCAAGATTGGCAAGGGGTTGAGGCTGGGGCTGTGGATGTTTTGGGGTTGTATTGCATCGGCAATGGCTGAATTGTTGTAGGAAGTTCAATGAGGTTCATTGGGTATTCGACTGGGCATTGGACGAGCAGAACGGGTTCGCATATCGAGAGTTTATCTGAGGAGCGAATCAGGGGTCTTGATCCGTCCCGTGTTTTCGCTATTTGCGTTTCGCGCTAGATACCGAAAGTGAAGGTCGATAGAGATGGACATCGATGGTTCCTAATGGTTGGCGGTTCGTGCCTGATTTGGTGTTACAGTACTCCAGGTCGGGGGGGACATGCATGTGGTGGGTGGACGTGCAGATGGACGGAGTGCAACGTATTCGGGAGGGGTCCAACCGTTGCAGGACGTTGGTTGTTGACTTTGATCAACAGGGGAACCATACTGGGAGTTATAAGGACTCGGCAATCTGCTGTCGATGCTTCATGATCTTCATCTCTCACTCACGCCTCTCCATCACCGACACCCAGGGATACCCAGGAAATCTTTGGCAAGATGAAGTCCTTCATTGTTGCTTCCCTGTTGGCGGCCGCCTCGTCGGTCCTTGCGGCCCCGGCTCCTATGCCCACTCCTGTACGTTCATCCTCGCCGCTCATCCCCTCAAAGGAGCTTTGAGACTGACCATCACAGCCCGGTATTCCCACTGCCGCCAATGCTAAGACCCAGCTCGCCAGCTTGACCGTCAAGGCCTACGTTGACGACGGCAAGTACGAGCGTGATCTTTTCCCCACCTGGATCACCATCTCCGGCACTTGCAACACCCGGTATGTTCATCTCCACGTTTTGTGTCGCCCCCTTTGTGCCACATCTACTAACTCCCCCCAGCGAGTACGTTCTCAAGCGTGACGGCACCAACGTCGTCACCGACTCCGCCTGCACGGCCACCAGCGGTACCTGGGCCTCTCCCTACGACGGCGGCGTCTGGACCGCCGCCTCCGATGTCGATATCGACCACATGGTGCCTCTCAAGAACGCCTGGGTGTCCGGTGCCAACGCCTGGACCACCTCCAAGCGCCAGCAGTTCGCCAACGACATCAACTCGCCCCAGCTGTGGGCTGTCACCGACAACGTCAACCAGGCGAAGTCTGACCAGAGCCCTGATGCCTGGAAGCCCCCTCTTACCAGCTTCTACTGCACTTATGCTAAGGCCTGGGTTCAGGTCAAGTATACCTGGGCTTTGACCATCACCAGCGCGGAGAAATCTGCTCTGACTAGCATGTTGAATACTTGCTAGGATAAGGGAGGAAAGGGGAACGGGAGTGGGGATGATAGTAGGAGTAGGAAAGGGAAGAAGATAAATGGTGTCGGGATGATCCAGGTGCCATGGTGGATGGGAGCATGGGTGGTACTGGCCTGGTTATGGTCAGCCCTGTGATGTCTTAATGAAGTTTGTGGTAGATCTAAAATATGATGATACCCATTCTACAACTCATGCCTCTGGACGTGGAGCATCTGGTAGCACGTTGATTCTATGAGATGCTTTCCATGTTCCATGTTCTCATTTCTCAGTGGGCTGGCCGCACTTGAATGTCCAAAGAGGGGACATTCGAGACGTGAACTTGCCAGTTGACGACTTGAAACATGGACAGGTACGTGGTGGTGATATGTGTATGTGTAACTCAAGTATGTACAACGAAAACTGACTCGAAGCATCAGCCAATACCTCTAGGTCTACCACGCTTCCATAGGACTTCTCCTCGACGACTATACGTCGTCTTTCTATCCGATGAAGACTACTGGCATCCCAATGCAGACTACCGGCATCCAATGTTTGACTTCTTAAAGGTCAGCGGTCGAACCACTGTACGAGTGGATCTGTTCACTGGTTAGCATCTGTCTCATTCTCGAGCTCCTTCCATGTTCATCAGAGATACTCACAGTCTGATCCGCACACCCAGCTGGCGTCTGATACAAGTATGCGCCCGTGTTGATGAAGACCTCCTGCCCGGTGCACACCAACCAAGCGGCTTCATTCGGCCTTTTGATATCCGCCACGGACCACGTCAGGGTATCACCCTGGAACTTGAACGTGCCATAGGCATTCTTCGTCGTGCTGAACCAAGTCTTGAGCTTCCTCTGGGTCTTATCGGCAGGGTTCTCAACGTTGAGGTAAAGCTGAGAAGGCTTGGTGTTGAAGACGATTTGGCCGTCGATGATGTTGAACTGCCCAGCGGTGGTGTGGTCCTCGAGGAGAGCGGTCTGGTTAGAGGAAGCAGCGGAAGAGGTGCCGCTTTGGAGGTACTTGTGGAAGTTGGGAGCGGCAACGGCTCGGATCCAGTACCAGCCTGGTTCCAGGACGGTCGGGTTCGGGTTGGAAGGAACGGCTGTGGCGGAGGGAGCGCCAGGGGAAGAATCGAAGATCGTTGAACGGATGGAAGTTGGGACGGTCGAGGTTTTGAGAGTGGTGGTCACAGGAGCGGCACTAGAAGAAGAGGTGGAAGTGGTGAGACCTGGGCACGTAGGCTCGGGGTTGAACGATGGGACGGCCTTGGGGATCGCGCTTCCAGAGGGTGGGCCCTTAGCAGCCGGGTACGTACGTAGTAGATCCTGGGATGCACTGGTAGTAGTAATCGTTGAGCTTGGTGCAGGTGTAGCCGGAGACGCAACTGGTAGCACCGGCCCAGCCTATGCCGCCGCATTGGGACCAGGCGCTGCCTTGGGCGGAGGCGACAGCCGCGAGAACGGGGATAGATGCTAGCACGCGCATTGTAGATATTGACGAGAGAAGGATTGTCGTTGGGACAAGACTGGTGGTCAAAAGCTTGGTGCTTTGGTCATGTTTATATCTTCGCTTGGCTTGAACTCCCCGACGGCAGGGCAAAGGCTTTGACGGCCCGTTGCGTACACCGCATCTCAGTCGTAATTATTCTAGAAGTAGCATCGAATTCGGGATGTTACGCCGTGTTGGACAAGCTGGGCCAAGCGGGAGATGGAAACCCGGTTCGCGGAAGATGATCCCAAGATGAAACCGGGTAGCGTTGCAATGGCGTGCGATGAAGGGCCGTTGGTTCGGAACTTGGCTTCCGGGGTTGCCGCATTCAGACCTCAACCTCGGCGCTCCGTCCCGGGCTGGGAATAGCTTGCTGTAAACCTCATAGCTGGGACGAAGTATAACCTCGACGTCAAAGGACGTAGAATGTGAACGTTTAAATGTATCTGTAGATACGGGCTCGCAGGATGGCGATCATTGTTGAAGCCTTGCTTCATGAAGTGGTGTTGCATTGACAGGTCGGGCTCCCCTTTCCACGCCTTATGCCGATGACACTTGGCCAACTTCAACTCCCAAAAGCGATATTTAAGATGTGGCCAAACCATCACCACAATGCACACCACGATCTCCCAATGTTGATATCTCGCCGCAGCAGCGCAGACCTCGGGGCTACCAACACTGAACTCGGATATAAGAGCATCATGTAAGCCACCGTGGTAGCTAAACCAATCCGCATCGTGACTTGCTCAAAGAAGGGCGCGGGAGCGTGGCGCAGTTGATAGGACGCCATTCTCCAGTTGATTAGGAGCGACCAATGGGAGAGTGATGTCTAAGGAGGCCGCCTTGGGCAGAATGGCTGACAAGGCAGAGACAGTCCCGTCAGCTTTGACGTGAGTTGGGATAAAGAATTGCCTATAAGCTGACGGATCCCATCGATCTTTGCTGGTGGCTTATCTTCTTCTCCTGTCATTCCTTCATTTTGCAACTTTGCAACTTTCATGATTGGCGCTCATGTCCATCCATCGAGTTCGATTACCCAACTGAGAGCTTGCGCGAGAACCGAACCTTCAGAATGACGGGACGAAACACAATGCAAAAGCCGAATCCTCACTCTTACTCCCAATCCGACCCCTCCCAGACTCAAGCCGAAGTGCATGAGCTTGAATCCCCTCCGCCCAGCTACGAGGCAGCAGTCCTTGGCACGGACGACAGAAACCAAGGGAGACAGGTACAAAGCCACAACGTGAATGAGCCCGCTGGTGAAGTTCACTTGTTGAACCAGCAACAAGGGCACCGACAGCAACTTGAACAACAGCGACAACAGCTCGAACAACAACTTGAACAACAGCGACAACAGCGGGAACTGCAACGACAACAGCTCGAACAACAACTTGAACAACAGCGACAACAACGGGAACTGCAACGACAACAACAAAGGCAACAACTTGAAGAACAACGACATCAACAGCAGCAGCAGCAGCAACAACAACAACTACAGCTACAGCCACAGCGGCAGCAACAGCCCTACCCCATCCAGGAGTATTCTTCATCCAACCATCATTATCAACCAGATGCAAAATACCCTAACACCAGCCAGCAGGACTACTACGACCTCGAAGCGCAACAGCCAACAGTAGCCAGCAGCTCTGGGATCCATACGTCCATTTCAGGTCAGGCACAGACCGACCCGAGGGACAGAAGGGGGCATAGACGTGAAGGATGCCAACATGAAGACAGGAAACAGCGGTCGGGTAATTGTTGCGTGGCCTGCTTTGGTGGGTGTTTGGCGGGGTGTGCGGCTTGTTGTTATTGTTGTGTTGTGATGTAGGGAATGGAAGACGTGGAGCAGAGTGGGCTGGGCTAGGGCGGGAGGAAAGGAGATGGCGTTGACATTGGAATGGTGATACCCCTTGGTCAAGAAGATTAGGAATCAGGATGTCCGTCTACGGCCACATCGCCTCGTACATAAACAACCAGTCTTCCCAGAACTGTTCGTACTTGCCCAGCAACCAACTCCTCCCATCTCCCTCGCCTCCTATCCTCCATGGCCTTGTATGCAGTCCTTCCGCCTGGAGATGCCTCTTGAGGGCAACATTTATGCTGAACGAACTTGGACTAACACCAAGGAAAAAGTGACTCTGCAACAGGACGATGAAGTCAATCACTGCCTGCTGATCCCACGTCAGCTTCTCCAGTGCCGCGCGATCCTCTTTGTGGTCCTCCAATAGCAGGTCTTTGGTTGTGACTCGCATGCCATGTAGCACCGTTGCATCCTTGAAGAACTTGTGTGCCTCCGTCTCGTTGCCTGTCGCTAGGTAGCCGGCTTTCATGTCGTATCCCATCTGCTGACTCCTCGCCAGGTAAGCCTTGCTCTGGTTCGCATAGTTGGGCCAAAAGTCTAGCGCATCGTTTTCCGTGCGGAGGTGATAGCCGACGAATCGACCCGAGTGGGCGTTGGCATCAAACTGGCGCGCATGCTGCCGCATGTGTGCTACAACTTTGTTCGCCAACCCAAGAATGTCAGGCCGGAACCGCAGCAGACCACCAAAAGTGGAAGCGAATTCGGGACCGTCACGGAATACAGGCCATTCGAACTGGACACCCCAGGTCAGCCGGAAGATACGCGGATGTTCAGGGCTGGGAGGGTGTGGGAGGTTGAACTCGGCGGCAGTGGAGCGCAAGTGACTCGCAAAGGCGGAAGCGAACAACCCGGTGTGCTTGTTGTGATCTCTTCTATCGCAGCCTCCTCTTCTTCCTAGATTCTTGGGTGTAACCTCTTCGGCCTTGAACGGGACAGGGGCATTGGGGACGTCGGAGCTAGTATCGTGAATGGTTATTTGCGGGCAGGACGACTGAAGGCTTTGGCGGAAGTGCGGTTCGTCGAAGAAGTAGGTGAAGGGCTGGTAGTTCTCGGCTGTAATGTCGGATAGATCTTTTTCGGATCGGATTCGAATTCGTGGCATGACGAGACCGGTTGCGCCGACGTCAATGGCATAGCGTAGGCAGGTCAGGATGTAGTTGCGGATGTTGCCGATGCCGCCGGAGTTGTTGTCGCAAACGAAGACAAGGCCGGGGGTCCAGGTGGTCTCGCTGCAGACTCTCTCGAGCGGCCAGCCAATGAAGGGGGCATCGGGAAGGGAGAGGTCGAGATGGCGCTGGAGTATGGGACCTCGTGTGATGTCGGTGTTGGAGGAGGGGTAGATATTTAGCTGGGGAAGTCGACACAGCCAGACGGTGACGAGACTGGTGATGGCCATGAGGGCGAGGACGCCGCGCGGGCGTGCCATGCTGAGGACCATCTCGGGGTGCTATTGTTCGACGATTGGCCCTAGAATGGCATTGCCAGGCAAGATGGGACTGTCAAGGTGTTGTTGGAACTGTATCGATCACGGCCGTCAAGGTACGCCGGGGTATGTGGCCGCAAGTGGACTCCCGCAAGCCGAAGACCATTTTCGGAGATGACGGAGGCGCAGCTCCGCTTGTTGACGGGCATTGGCGATTCAGGGGCTCGCGGTCAGGCAACGCCCTTACTCGTTGGCTGGATCACATCTGGGATTGACTGGGAAAAAGAAAAGTCAAGATTTGGCCTCGAGCAGATGTTCTGGTCATGATTCGGCGACATGGTTCAAGTGGGATTGTTGGACGAAAGTTCAATCTTTGGATGGCAGACTTAAGTTGACTTCAATCGCTCTGGCGCTGTTGTTGAACAACGTGATTGCTGAGCCACATCCCCAGTGTCAGAAGTGCGTAAGCCACAAATGGCCTGGACTCGAGCAGTGACAGGAGCCACCAACGCGGGGTAGCTGTGGAGATCCGGAAGCTTGGCAAACCCATTGGCCCCACTAAAAAGTTCAAAAATTTGGAAGTGGAATTTGGGTTCGGTTCCTGACATTTGGATTGGGAAGTCGCGTCTGATAACGCCTGCGGTTCCTTCTGTCAACAGTGCTGTCTGCCTCTGTCGTAGCCAACCCGACTGCTGGATTCTTCTTCGGCATCTGCTGTTCTCGCTTTCTCTCTTTTCCCCAACAACCACACACCGACATCACACATCACACAAAATGTCCAAGAGAGCTGCCGACGACGAGAGCCTCGCTGCCCCCCTCAAGGGCGGCGACCGCCCCGAGGCCATGGATGTCGATAAGGACCACGACATGGGCGATTTCGAGGACGACTTCGAGGACGAGTTCGAGAGTGAAGACGAGATCATCGAGGCCGGTGTCGATGGCCGCCCAGATGCCGAGAGAGAGGCCGAGGAGGGTACGATCACTACCTCTCTACTCCTTCCTATCCTCTCATGACTACAGTTACTGACCCTAGTCGCAATGGACAGGCGCCATGGACGTCGATGGCGGTCCCGACACCTTCATGGTTGGTCGTCAACAGCTCGAGGCCGGTCAGACCCTCACCCCCGATACCACGACATACAAGATGCTTCACAGCTTGAGCACTCCCTGGCCCTGCCTTTCCTTCGACATCATCCGCGACGGCCTCGGCGAGAACCGCAATGTCTACCCTGCCACCATGTACACCGTCGCCGGTACCCAGGCCGATAGCGCCCAGGCCAACGACAACGCCCTTCTCGTCATGAAGTTCAGCGGCCTCAGCAAGACGCTGGGTGAGGATGGCGAGGACTCTGACGACGAGGACTCCGATGATGAGGACACCGACCCCATTCTCGAGCACAAGAGCATCCCTCTCAACACCACCACCAACAGGATACGCTCCCATCAGTCTCCTTCCCAGGACCCCTCGAGGCCTCCCACCACCCTTACCGCCACCATGACCGAGTCCTCCCAGGTGCTCATCCACGACATCACTCCTCATCTCGCCTCCTTCGATACCCCCGGCATGGTTGTCACTCCCCAACAGAACAAGCCCGTCTGCACCATCCGCGCCCACAAGACTGAGGGTTACGGTGTCGACTGGTCGCCTCTCCACCCCGCCGGCAAGCTTCTTACCGGTGACAACGACGGTCTGATCTACGTCACCACTCGCACCGATGGCGGCGGCTTCGTCACTGACACTCGTCCCTTCCGCGGCCACACCGGTAGTGTCGAGGAGATTCAATGGAGTCCTTCCGAGGCCAACGTCTTTGCCTCTGCCTCCAGCGACGGTACCGTCCGTGTCTGGGATGTTCGCAGCAAGAGCCGCTCGCCCGCTCTCACCATGAAGATCAGCAACTACGATGTCAACGTCATGTCGTGGTGTCGCCAGACCAGCCATCTGCTTGCTACCGGTGCCGACGATGGTGAGTGGGCTGTTTGGGATCTCCGTCAATGGAGCAGCAACCCTTCGGCCAAGCCCGCTCCTCTGGCCAACTTCAACTTCCACCACGAGCAAATCACCAGCATTGAGTGGCACCCTACAGACGACAGTATCGTTGCCGTTGCCGCTGGCGACAACACCGTCACTCTCTGGGATCTGGCTGTTGAGCTGGATGACGAGGAGAGCAGGGATACCGCCGGTGTCTCCGACGTCCCTCCCCAGCTCCTGTTCGTCCACTACCAGAACATGGTCAAGGAGCTCCACTGGCACCCTCAAATACCCGGTGCCCTTGTCGCTACCGGCGAGCAGTTCAGCGTCTTCCGTACCATCAGCGTATAAACAACAGCCGAATAGGAAATCATGTTTGGGAAACAAAAGGTGTTCAGGATCGGAATCGGTTGGCTTGTGCGGGAGATCTAGACCAACAATGTATCAAAGTTACTTGTCTATTCATGTTCATCTGCTTATCAAGATACCCATTGACCAACAACCAAGTCGCCAACTCCATGGAACTTGACAATTCCGCGGATTCGGCACATCTTCCGTGCTTCTACGTGTTGCACCAGTCAGTCACAATCTTACAAAAGGTTTTACCAACATCGACGCTCCTACTCGGTGGTTGCCGTCAACAGCAAAGTTGATATCGGAACCGGCCTAAATCTCCGATGCTGAGCAGCCTCCAGTCGACTCCACCCCCTATGACGTGTGTCTTGCGCATTGCCACAGACCGGGCGGTAACCACACAGCAAGTGTCGGGCAGACCATCTCGAGAGAGGTTGCTTTGGAGGGAGTTTGCGACATTAGGCCACGTGAGGGGCCGCGCGGGTATCACTACTATTGCCTCAGATGGTCGTCATTGGGGGCCGCCTACCGACAATGTCCATCCGCACGCATCAAAAAAATGTGGCCTGGAGGTACGCCACGCCGTTTTCGGCTGCTCTGACTTCTTACTGCGATCTCTCCATTTTTCTGCTGTTGTCGTTATCTGACCGGTCTGGCGGTCTCTTGGTAACCCATGCTCCAGGCCTAGCAGCTTTCCCAGGCGTATCCGGGCTTTGGATGGGAACAACGGATGACAGCCATCTCAAGTCGTGTCCATATTATGATCGTTCTTGCAGTTTGAAAAGCGTCAAACGACCCTCTGGCAGAACGTTCCAATTCCCAAGTAACGGCTCACCCAAGGGTTGAACGTAAAAACGCTCCGGTCAAATCGTATGCTGGGAAGTCTAATCGATATCAGCATCTCCAAGAACGCCATGTCCAAGCTCCATGTTTACGGTCAGAGTTTTCCCTCACGGTCATGACTCGGACCGATCTCTGCTGAAAGATAGCTTGGTAAGACGGTCCTTCATCTTACTCTTTGCATCAGGTACTGCCGGAGTTTGTTTCACTTCGAAAAGCGGAGGAAGTTGAGGCAGGGATCCAACGGTCCGGCTGATTATAACCCAAGCGTCGCCTCGTCGCTCAATCTCTCGACTTAGGTTACTCTCGATCACGACATAAAACGCGGATGTCCCATGGCCCATTACAAGATTCGGGCCATGACTGACTGCCCAGGTGACTGATACTGACTCTATTTGGTGGGCTGTTATATCTTCATTGAATCTCAGATGGAGAGCGTGGAAGTGACGGAAAAATCGGTTGACGTTCTGCGACAGCGTGCAGTCTCTCGGCCCCAATGCCAACGGAATGCGGGATGCGGGATGCGAGTCCAGACCAGTCTGTGCTTGCACTCCCGCCTCGCTCGAGCACGCCGGCATGTTTACTGGACAGTGTGGATCCAATCACTCAAAGGCGAAACGTGCAAGATAGGCTTCAACATGATATATCCATGCCTCTCTTGAGCTTGGGCTCCACGCTATCGAACCGTCAGCTAGCCAGTGTAAGGACCTGGACTCTTCCTCCCGGAGCGTGTGCCGTTGGGACAACAGGCCGCGCAGGGAAGAACTGGTGTTTCTGGACTGCAATGCATGTTCAAACGGATGCAAGTTGTTGCAGCTACCTTGCCTAGGTACCGCGTCTCCTCAATTCCATCTCATAAGACTATTGTCATATCTCTCACCCGTCTCCCTCATCCACCTTCTCGCATCGTATCACACAGTCTCGCAATCTTTGCAAACCCGCCAAACTCGGCGAAACCAAAGACCATGCGGAATGTATCTGAAAGAGCTCGTGAATGGGAGACCTTCAGGTACGTACCGGTTCTGACAGGACCCATCTCTCCAGTCCTTCTCCGCCATAGCGTCCACCAAGCTGTGTACCACCCGTACCTGGGGTTTCTGGGGGATCAGACGCATCATCGCGGTCGGACATTCTCCCCAGCCTTGATATTGTGATGTTGCTAACATTCTCTACAGATTCCTGTCGACAGTCCGGGATAGCCGTGCCGTGCCCGACCCGGCCCATACATCCCCGAGCAAAAGCCTCCGGGCATCATCCGATACCGTCCTAACGGCACTTGCCCAGCTCGGTGTCCTCCAACTGTCGGCGCAACGAGGGGTCCTATCTCTCTTTGATCACGATCTACAACACATTGCTGCCGAAGCAACACCAACACTGCCGCTTCGACCCTACGCCCGTGATGAAGTCACCCCTCTCTTTTTGCGCGGACGCGACATATCCAGAAGCGAGATTATTTGTGAAAATGTCATCCGTGAGCAGAGACGGCATCCCGAGGACCTCATCGTCTTCGTGATACCCGACCTGCTGGCTGACCAGCGGTTCGATCACATCCAATCCCTCATTGGACAGGAACCCTATCCTCGGTTCTACGCAGGCGTCCCCATCTGCTCGCCCTCCGGTATCGTCATAGGCTTGTTCTCGGTTTTTGACACAAGTCCGCGGCAAAAGCTCGACGAAGTTGATATCGACTTTATGAAAGATCTATCTCGGACAATCTCGCGCCAGTTGGAGGCCCACAGGAAGCAAGCGGTATTACTCCAGACCGAGCGTATCCTGAGGGGAGTGGTGAGCTATTCGGAGGGAAGGGACGACATTTCCAGCCTATCGGAGTATCATGCAGAAAGAGACACCGTGGACCCGTGCCGGCGGGATACATGGGACACATATCCATTTGATCGCCATTGCGCACCTCACTTCCCGCACAGCAACGGCTCAACAGCTCCGCAGACACATATCAGAGTATCTGAAAATGCCATGGATGGAACACTGAGCAGCGGCGAGTATGAGGCTAACCATATCAGAAAGCTCTCCCTTCCAGACCACACAACATTGGACTCACGGTTGATGGCGGGTGACACCCACAGCAGTGATAAACCAATACCATCGGATACGCCAACCCAGGGAACCCTGGGTGCCGACGTCCGGTTGTCTGAGATCAAGAAGAGTTTCGCAAAGGCATCAAACATTATTCGAGAATCTATGGATGCAGCCGGGGTAATCTTCCTGGATGCCAACACGAGCCCTTTCCATTACTGGCAGGACAGTGATACAAAAACTACATCAGATGTACCAACCAGAGCAGCAAGCACCGACTCCAACAAGGTCAATGGTGTTGCGAATACTGGAATCGACTTGGAAGTTAACCCGCACAAACGGCCCTGTGACATCCTCGGCTTCTCTGAGACACCAGCAGGGACACCCGACGGGACAACGATAGATCCCACAGGTCCCTTACGGCATCCCGGGCCTCACCGCAGCTGGCGGGTTCTCTCAGAGAGCTTCCTTCGCAAGCTACTGCGGCGTTATCCACGTGGGACCATCTGGGAATTCGACGCTGCAGGCAACTTCATCAGTGCTCCGGAAACCGTACCAATGCCGTCTCCGCCCTCATCAACAAGCCCCTCATGTCCTTGCTCTGACTCGGAAATCGACGCCGCCGCCAAAAGACAACGACGTGGCCGGCTACGGAGAAAGAATGGCACATCAATGCGAAAGCCACGGAAGAGTGAGTGTGATACCATCCACGCAGCATTCCCCGAGGCTCGAGCAGTATCGTTCTTTCCCCTGTGGGGGACCCAGATGCAGCGCTGGTTCGCCGCCGGGCTGGCATGGACCAGAGAATCGTTGCGCAACCTCGCGCCGCAGAATGAACTCGGCTTGTTCAACGCGTTTGGCAAGAATGTCATGGCCGAAGTGGCCCGTATCGATGCGACGCTTGCCAACCAGGCCAAGTCAGACATGCTTGGATTCATTTCGCACGAGATGCTGTCGCCATTGCACGGTATCCTTGGTGCTGCTGAGCTGTTGCTTGATACCGACCTCAGCACTTCCCAGACGGAGCTCATCCACCTCGTCGAGGCTTGTGTCAGGACACTGCTGGACACTGTCGACCATCTCCTAGATCATTCCAAAATCAACAGTCTAGTGGAGAACACCAAACTCTCCAATGGCCGACGAGGTTCCTTCCACTCGGACGACCTAGAACACGATCAAGACCCTGATTTCAGCGGTCCACCAGGAACATCCAGGATGCGATCTGGCAGCCTAGCAAGCAAACCCTGGCCATGGGAGCAACCGACCTTGACCCGCTTCTACGATGTAGACCTCGACGTCATGCTGGAAGAAGTCGTCGAGTCCCTCTATGCGGGCCATTCCTTCCAGCGATGGTGCAACCAACGTGGTGCCGATCCAGGTGATGACAACGTCGCTATCCATCTGGATATCGACCCTACCGTCAACTGGTCTTACTACGCCCAACCCGGTGCGTTGCGCCGCATCATCATGAACTTATTCGGCAACGCCCTGAAGTTCACTCGTAAAGGATTCATCAACCTCACCCTAACCGCTCAGCCTATCCCCTCTGAATCTCGCCCTTCTTTCGCCTCCACAGACCTCGAAGACGAAGCAGAAGACACAGGCATCGAAACGGACAGCAAGCACTTGAATGAAAAGAAACGCTCAAACGTAATATTCACCGTCTCGGACACGGGCAAGGGAATCACTCCACGCTTTCTCCGCGAAAAGGCTTTTTCTCCCTTCCAAAAGGAAGACAGTCTCACCCCTGGCCCCGGCCTCGGCCTCTCTATCGTGAAACAGATCGTCGACGCCCTCGGTGGGCGTGTCGTCGTTGACTCCCGACCTGGCGAAGGGACGGCGGTTAGAGTGATCCTACCGCTTCAGCATTCGAGTTCGGAACCAAGGAGTGAGGATAGTGATATAGCGGAGCATAGGGAGGCGCTGAGGGGGTTAAGGGTTTGCTTGCTTGGTTTCGACGGGTTGGGAGACGGGGAACCCGATGACAATGGGTGGGGTAGGCCGGTCGATGCAAAGGGGAGGGAAGTACTGAGGGGGAGGATCATGGAGAGGATGTGTAGGGATTGGCTTGGATGTCGGGTGGTGACGAACCCGGCGGAGGCGCAGATGACAATCTGTAGCGATCGGTTTGTGTTGGGTATGTGCACAGATGATGGAGCTGGTGACAAGACTGGTGGGAGGAGGTCCGTGTCGAGAATGTTGGCCGGCCCGTTGGTGGTGGTGTGCGGGAATGAAGTTGTTGCGCAGAATTTGTCACTGGCTAGGGGGGAGGCTGCTGCTGGAGGGAAAGGGGAGGCGAGCGTGATGGAGTTTATCGGGCAGCCGTGAGTTTTCTTTCCCAACTTCTATGGTCATGAGCAGATACTAACAGACGTGGCAACAGGGTTGGGCCAAGGAAGCTGGCTAAGACACTGAGGAAGTGCCTTCAGAGCCATCCCGTCCCGCTGAAGGGAAGAGTTAGTGAGATGGGAGGACAAGCAGAGAACGAGCTACAGTCACGAACCTCATCCGAGTCTAGCATCGATCTGGATGTTCTGCAGAGGAAGATGTCCGACCCAGAGGTTTTCCAGATCGTCAACAAGAAGTCGAGGTTCCTGCCTTATCTGGCGGATGATTTCCGGGATAACTTGTTTTCGACGAGCAAGGCGACGGCGGCTGCTGCGACAAGGCCTTTGCTGCGGAGAATCAACAGGACGGTTGGAACGCCTTTGGTTCAGCAGACGTCCGTGGGGAAGGATGGGAAGGTGGGAGGGGGGGAGATGGAGGAAGCGGTTACCCCTGGAACGACGCTGCTGCAGAACACGAACCAAGAGACTTCCGTGTCATCACAGCAAGAGAACATCAAGATGCCAGTCACCAGGCCCCCGCTGCCACCACGGTCCCGTACTGGGAAAGAGAAAGTGAACAACATGAACCTCGGCTTCACTACCGTCTCCGTCTCCGAGGTCTCGTCGCCGTCGCCGTTCGACTCGATCATCTCACCACCGGTCTTAACCGAGGCCTTTGCTTCCCCTGAGGATGAACAGGTGTCGCCTATGTCGCATACCATCAACTCGATCCTTCCTTTCAGTACCAGTGATGCCAACACCAGCACCATCGGCAATGCTGGCCCTACAAGTGGGTGCATCGCTGGGGCTGCTGCTGCCGCCGCCACGAACAACACGATGACAGGCACCGCGGCCGTCCCGGATGTGTCACCGGCGCCGAAACCGTCCGACCTGCTCGAACCGTTCGAAGCCCAGCGCCAGCAATCAATCCTGGTGACCTCCCCTTTGCTAACTGAGGGGCAACCCGCTGAGCTTCATCTCGAAACACGTCACCTCTCCAAGGCATCTACCTTCCCTATTGTCACAACCTCCTCCCCATCCCAACCTTCCTCCCCTTCTAACCCTCGCCAACCTTCGCGCCCCTCCCAATCCCTGCTAAACTCTCCCTCTCAACCCCGCAACTCCTCTGCCGGTTTCTCAACAAACCAGGAAGAAAAGGCCTGCCTCCTCGTAGACGACAACCCCATCAACCTTCACATCCTCGCTTCAGCGATGCGCAAGACACATCGTCCCTTTGCTACTGCCCGCAACGGGCTGGAGGCCGTGGAGATCTACAAGGAGAGCCCGGGGAGGTATAAGTGGGTGTTGATGGATATCAGCATGCCGGTAATGGATGGGTTGGAAGCGACGAGGAGGATTAGGGAGTTTGAGAGGGAGTACCCTGTGCAAAGGAGTAGGAGTTTGGGAAGAAGTCTGACTAAAAGGGGGAGTGCAGCGAACAAGGCGGATGAGGCAAGGGCCAGAGCTGGGAGTTTGGGTACAGGTATGGGTGGTGGTGTTGGAGTGCCGGCGGGTGTCGAAGTCGGTGTCGGAGTTGGATCCGGAGCTGTAGATGGGAAGAGAGTCATACAGAGGAAGGTTGGACGGGCATCTCTCGATGGAGCGGGGCTTGAGCCGACACCTGCGCCAGCGCCTGTCGGAGGTGAAGATCGGAGTGAAGGTGTGAGTGCAGGTACAGATCAGGAAGCGGCGCAGGCGCGGGAACCGAAGGGGGCGGAAGTCAACGGCGATGACATGGATGACGGTGTGACCGAAACAGATGAGAACAGCACCGAAGGGGAACCTGTCAAGGGCCTGGAGCCCGCAACAGTCGTAGCGCTCACAGGAGTCACGAGCGGGACGATACAGAAGGATGCGCTGGCGAGCGGGGTGGATTTGTTTTTGACAAAGCCGGTTAGAATGAAGGATTTGGGGGCGATTTTGGGGGATGGTTGATCATTTTTCTGGATGTGATAGTTTACAGATGTACGAGCTAGCTGAGGGCGTGGCATGCACTGGCGTTGTCGGAGTCTTGTAGTATTAACATAGGGAGAAGAAGCCCCGGAGGCTTGAGGAAAGGCGTTCACTGGTAATGCAATTTGGTTGCAACGTATATCAGCAGGCAATGAATGTGTGGTCACAAAGATGACTGACATCTATGGTTTGAGGTACTGTGAAGACATTAGTAGGCCTGTAGAGGTCATGGTGTGAAGCACGAGCCGAGCCGAGCCGTGGTCACTTGGATACTTGGTCCATGTCAGCCTACCGTTTGCTCCGCGTCTTTTCCGATTGGACTATGACGAGCTGAGAACCTGTGAGACACTCGGTCAACTACTGAAATAGGAAGCCAGGAACTGGAGTGGCCAATACGAACCCGTTTGCAAGGGTTAAGCTTAATCTACAGGACCAACTCGATGTTACTATTCGAGCTCGATATTCGGCAGCTTGACGGCACAGTTCATGTCACCAACCGCATGTTCTTGATACTACTCTGTGGGTAGTCTCAAGGCCTCAACATAGCCTTTCCGAGTTCTGGCCCCCACGACCTGGATATCTTGATGGCTATAAGATAGCTGAGCCAAGCCCTTCTTGAATCCCTTTCTGAAGTTGATGATCAACGGCTTTGAGTCTAGGCAAAGAGATCAACATTGAAGCCATACTAACCGCCGACCAACATAACTGGTCCATAGCCCTCCATCATGAAGTCTCTCCAAGCCCTCCTTCTCCTTGCCATTGCCTTCCGCCGAGCTTTTGGCGAGCTCACCTACAGCGTCACTGGAACATCTCACGGCAAACCCATCCCACCGTCCGATATAGTCTTCAAGCGGAAAGATCCAAGTCTTCACCGCCTCAACCGAGGCTCAACTGCTGAATCCAAAACAGAGGCACCAACTCAACCTCAGAACCAAAAGGCAAGACGTCAAAGCCTAGCCAACCCGATCTATTACAGCGACAACTGGTGCGGGGCCGTCCAGTCCGGTAACTCGGCAAACAAGGTCACCAGCGTGCATGCCTATTTCCAAGTCCCTACGGTGCTCGGGAGACAGCCGGGCAGTGTAAGCTCCCCTCCTGTTGACTATGTTGCGGCATGGGTGGGCATTGATGGAGCGACATATGGAGGGGCGTTGTTGCAGGCAGGGGTTACGAGCCAGGTATTTTCGTCCTCTGTTTTACCTACTTGATTCGCAAACAGGAAGTCCTAGGAATGAAGACTGAAGATTAACCAATGGTTTGCGACTCTTTCAAATCTAGCTCGGGACAGACGGGGTCCAAAGTCATTGGGCTTGGCTGGAATGGATTCCTGACGCGGCTTACAATATTCCGTCATTCCCTGGTAAGTAGATCAAGTCTTTCGGACCATCAAACGACTTCATTCTCTGGATTCAACTTCAATCTCATAGTTCGACTGAAAACTGACAATTTCCGTAGTGAAAGATGGCGACTGGATAGAAGTAACCGTTTCTACGACCTCAGCAACATCAGGAGCGATGTGGGTTCCGAATTATCTCAGCCTCATTACCGTCTCTCACTTCCGAACTCCAGTCCAGCGCTAACCAAACAATTCAATTCTCAACATCATATCCAACCTCGGCCAGTCAACCTCGTACAACATACCCCTCGTCAACGGGACTCCCCTCGGCCAAGTCGACGCCGAGTGGATCGTCGAGGCCCCTTCAGCCGTTGGCTATGGTAGGGTCCCATATTCGAGGTTTGCCGACGTCTGGTTCGAGGACTGTTCCGCAACAACAGCAAATGGAACTACAAAGGGCGTTGATGGGGCGACCATGTATTTCTGGTCTTCTGATAAGTGCGTGTCGTTCGAGTATGATAATGGGGATTTCTGGGTGCAATCTGCCACAACGTAGCTGCAGACTTCGAAGTGGAAGGAGCAGGTGGATGGTGTCGAAATAAACGGAGTGGATGTAAACACGAGTGCCCGAACCTTGGAAGGACTGCGACTGCGCATGCGCATGGGGAGCAGCAGGTCGAAACGCGAGAACTGGGTTCTGGCGGCTTGTACCGGCAGCAGCGGTGACGATGACAAATTCTGAAGACGATGTGAGGAGGGATGTGATCGCCTCGCCTGTGTCACAAGGTTACAGACGAGGGATCGGTAGAGATTGTGTCTCCGAGTCCGAACCTCGGCTGGTGTTAGGATTGGAGTATGCGCCGGTGTCTCGGATTCGCCATGACGTGGCAGAAGGGGGCGCAGGGTGCTGGCGTTGGTGTCGGTGTTCGCATTGGAGCACAAGAGGATAAAGAATGGTGGTGAACTTGTTGATTGAAGGAAAAGAAGGAAAGAAGGAAAGAGAGGGAAGGGGAAACCCACGATATATGTATATGTGAGACACGAGTAAGAATCTATGTGTAGATCGAAAAAGCATCTTGCTCAACAGATGGTGCATGTATGTCGCTTGTGGTTGATGATCTGGATTGGTCCGTGGTCGGATCAGGAGAAAGTTGGAAAATATTGAAGTTTGGATGGTGTAGAAAGCGGAGAGCAGGACGAGAAAGAAGAGGGAGGAAGCTGATGTCAAGGGCAAAAAAGGAGAATGAAACAGGAAAAAAGTGTGCCCCCACGCGGGATTGAACCGCGGACCTCTTCATTACGCAGATGGTTAGTACGAGTGAAGCGCTCTACCACTGAGCTATACGGGCTTACGCTTTTTGTTGACATCTACAAGTGGAGATTGATCATATGAATGCACGGAGAATGCAATGCCAACTTCGACACAATCGTGCTCATGGCTGGCGACATGATCTTGTACCTGGCGCCAGGTCCCCAGATGGACAGGATGCCAATGTTTGTAAACCATTCTTGGTATTCGTATGATTGTCTTAACATGCTGGATTTCAAGGTGAGATTTGGATGTAATCACAAATCCCTGTCGCCTCAGCGCCTGTTTCGCCACCAACATCACATCACACTCGGTTGACCAGGACCCGATCGGAGAATATTTGATCAGCAAATTGCTATCACTTCGTCAGCGCTTGCCTCCTAGACGGGCGTGTAGCACCGAATGTCCAGACATCCACGGGATGAAGTTTGCATGAACCCAACACAAACACCACTGGGCACCGGGTTCGCCGCAACAACATAATGCACAGACATGCCTTTGGTCATGAATTGTGTGACGCCCGTGTTTGCATCATGTAAATCACATGGTCATCTGCATGGTACTATGCACAGCCGTTGAGGCTGTTGTCTGCGTTCCCTCGGAATCGTGGTTTTGCTGAGATCTGCAACAGCCGCCGTACATGGCGCTTGTTTCGAGCTACAGCCTTGTCAATAACAAGGCTGATATCAAATGTGGGTCCGTGATACAAGACGGGACGAACTCCCGAGGCACTGATCAGATCGGGCCTGATCGTCTGTTTCTTGTAAGCGCCCAATTTCTTTCGCTAAATTCGAAGTATTCAGAATCTCTTTTCCTGGTAAGAAACATGGACTGACAAAGGGGGGCCGCCGTGTTCGCCAAGATTGATCTCCTAACAGCCTCGCTATCAGTTCCCGCTATCTCGATGGGCGAGACGCCGACCCCATCGGAAGAGTTCTATTTTGACAGTTGTATCATGTTCCTCAACCTCATAGCCATCAGTTTTAGAGATGATGTTGTTTATGAAACAAACGATGAGATGATGTTAGGCGCCCGCAAGCTGTCGATGACGTGAGGGGAGGAAGGGACTCGATGACAAAAGGCGTCAATGCAAAGAGCGGATGGAATTCGTATAAAAGCGTGGCATGGATATATAGCAACATGACGAGAACGTTTAAGGCATCCAAGGTTGACCATTGGCATCCCAACTATCACAGGCAAGGAAGTCACTACCGAAAGACTTCATTAGCAATTTATAATCGCCACGACTCCAAAACCAAGCCACAAACCCCGTAGCACCTTCCTTCAGTGACAATGAGCACTGCCCATAGAGGTACCTTCCACTTCGGAGTCGAAATCGAACTTCTCCTCGGCAGTCGTAAAAAGCACTCCACATGGACTTCCCTCGCCGAAGATCTCGGCAAAAGCCTTGTCAAAGCCGGTATCCCCAATCACGTCAACAATTCCAACGACAAAACCGTTCCTTCCAACTACCGTGAATGGTCCATCACTCAAGAGATCACCATTCCCAGCCAACCGGGCAAGAACCTCTGTCAGTCTTTTCCTACATCTTCTCTGCAGACCCCCCTTTCCCTCCTCAAATTCCAGGCTTCCAGTCATGACTGACACTCCTCCGTAAAGTTGGCATCGAACTCGTCTCCCCCATTTACGATGCCTCATTTCGTTCTCAATGGGTTGAAGAACTCTCCAAGATCTTCTCAACTCTCTCATCCAACTTCATTATCACTCCTTCCGAGCACTGCTCAACCCACATCCATATCTCCTGTGTCCCAACCTTCTCCCCAACGGAACTCGCCTCTCTCTCAAAATGCATCCTCTACTTCGAGCCAGCTTTGGACTCCCTCTTCCCTGCAAACCGCCGTGGTAGTTCTGCATACTGGTGCCAGAGCAACAGGTCAAACCCCGCCTTGAGAGGCTTGTCGACGGGAGAAGCCTTGGGGATCATCGACGCTGCCGCTACAACTGGATCTGCAGCTAGGATCATCGAAGTGATGAACCTGTTCCCTGCTGATTCTGCTTATGGAAGGGCTAATGGCCGAAGGGAAGACTTCGTGAGGGGAAAAGTGTACAAGTGGGATTTGACGGGCTTGCTGGGTGTTACTGCTGGGCAGGTGGCTAGGGAAAAGCCGGGGTTTGGTATTCCCTCGGGGACTGGGGGCGGAAATGTCCGGGGGACGATCGAGTTTAGACAGCCGCCTGGGAGTTTGACGGCGAACGAAGCGGTGGGGGGGATTGAGGTTGCGGTGTCGTTTGTTGCTGGTGCGTTGATGGTTGGGTCAATCGTTGAGAGAGGAAGAGAAGTGTTGGATGCTGGAGGGCCGAGGGAGGAGCTGTGGGCTTTGTTGGCGAGTGGCGCCAAGATGCTGGGATGAACCGAGGGTTTGAAGCCTGCCGATAAGGGTCTTCTCGAGTGTGCTACGAGGGTGTGATGCCAGCCCAGGCAGGGCGGTCATTCAACCCTTGGAGGATGATATATATGAAGTTGCAATGTTGAGGACATTGGGGAGACCAGAACTTACATCTAAAAACGAAGTGCTTTGATGTCAGCAGTCATAGGGTGCGCGAAGACAAAAGGGAGGGTGCGGGAAGTCACGCTCTAGCAGAGAGCACGAGATTGAGGCACAAGAGGTACCTCTAGGTGCCTCTAAAGTCAGAAACCAACATCTTGAGCAAAGCAGGACATACCTCTACCCCTTCCATCTTGTCTGTAAGCCGGTCTCCATCCCCTTAAACCTCCTCCTGCCCACTGTAGTTATCCAACTCACTTGTCGTCGGGTCCCAACACACCGGGCTATACTCCTCCGTCTCCAGTCCCTTCACCTCCCCCTCGCTCAGTTCAAAGTCATACACATCCGCATTCTCCTTGATCCTCTCCGCCCTCACACTCTTCGGCAGCGGCAAATACCCCTTCTGGAGACTCCACCTCACAAGCACCTGCGCCTCGGTCTTCCCGTACTTCTCCGCGAGTCTCTTCAGCCCGGGCTCACCGAACCTCTCCCCTCTGACGATGGGAGCATACGCTTCAACGACAACGTTGCGTTTGCGACACCACTCGACGATATCCTTGCGGGGACACCATGGATGGACCTCCCACTGCCCTACACTTATCACTCCTCCCTTGCCGGGCCCGCCCCTTTCCTCTTCCAGCTCTTTGATGTGCTGTTCCAATTCGTCAAGATGGTGGGCACCGTAATTGGAGACACCAATGGACCGGATCTTCCCTTCTTCAACAGCTTCGACGAGGGCAAGCCAGGCGCCCTTCCGGTTGACGGATCCGCCGTAGGGAGCATGCAGGAGCATGAGATCGATGTACTCGAGCCCAGTTTTGGCGAGGGATTCGGCGATGATGCGTTTTGCTGCGTTGTAGGAGATGTGTTTGGGGCCAACTTTGGAGGTGAAGAAGATTTGGGAGCGGGGGATGGTGGGGCGGAGGATAGCGGCGCCGCAGCCGGCTTCGTTGCGGTAGGCGGAGGCGGAGTCGACCTGCCAACGGAAAGGAGGTTAGCTTGGGGGTGGAGGGGAGGGTAGAATGGGATAGGGAGCAAAACGGGAAAGGGGAAAGGGGAAAGGGGATAGGGGAAGGGAGGGAGGGAGGGGGCCGGGACGAACATGGCGGTAGCCGACTTTGAAGGCTTCTTGGACGATTGTGTCTACTTCATTTGCGGGACTGGAGAGGGATTAGGATGGCAGGCTTGCAAACAGCTTGATCTCGGGCGTCTTACGTTTGGTAGACCTGCAAAGCGCAGAAGCGTTAGTCGCATGGGCAGATGAAGGCGTTGATGACAAGGGGCTCAGTGTGATGGTTCACTCAGTAATTACATACACCAAAACCCAATTGAGGGATCTCATATCCGCTGTTTAGCTTGATCTTGTCGTTAATGCTGAGTTTCGACATTTTGTTTGGTTGCCTTGGCGTTGTTCAGAAAGAGAAAATTGAGTGTCGTTGTGATGAATAGAGGAAGTTCAGTCGCGATCGATGACGTGCGATGCGAGAGAGTCGTTCCTGCCTCGTCCGAGTTAAGGCCGAGCCAACGATGACAAATCTCCTCTGGGGTGCGTAAAGCAATATGCTTTGTTGCTAAAGACGTAGGCTGGAATCTCTTCAGTTTCTGACCTCCCGTCGTTAATGGCAGGACGTCGCCAATGGCTCCTCCCCGACGGGGTTGTTCCATTTATCGACCTTCCGGTTTGGAACTTCAAGAGGCTCGATCATACGGCAACTGCCGAGCTACTACAGTCCTTCCAAGTTAAGTGACGTGACGGAAAGCGGTATGTGGTTACCTCGACCGGCCGTTATCGCCATCGGCCGTTGTAACGAATGTAAACAAACGTGTTCAGGGGGAAGTGGAGCAACGACCCGTCAAGGGCAAGATGGGCAATTGTGAAGGATCTTTCTTTGACGCTGCACTTGCCTGCTATACACGCCCACTAGCTCAAGGACTCAACAGAGATCCCTTTACCCCATTCACTCCGTCACCCTGCGCCGATACTCTCCCACAAACCTATATCCTCCCTCCCTCTCCTGTATTCCCCTCCCATCTTCGCGTCCCAGCTTACTTCCTGTCCCAGCTTACTTCCTTGGCTCAACGCTCTGCGGGTAGTAAAAAACCTCGTTCGGATCATACTGCGCCTTCATCTGCTGCAGCCTGCTAAGGCTACCACGATAATAATTGCCCACCGCCTCCGCCCTCTTCATCGTCGGATCCGCATAGTTGATATACATCCCCCACTGCTCCTGCTTCATATTATCCGTGAAGCTCTTGACCCATCCATCCAGGAAGCTGAATCCATTGCTGGGATAGCTGCCATAGTTTACGCGGTCGTAGAGTTCGTAAAGGAAGAGGTATTCAGGGGCGCGGTAGGCGTAGGAGCTGGTGTAGTTGGCCGAGTTGGTGGTGGAAGAGGTGATGGCTGACTTGGGACCGCCGTGCATGTCGATGATGATGAACCAGTCGCGCGAGACACGCTTGGCGGTGTTGATCCAGTAGTTGGCGACGGAGTTCAGAGCAGCGGAGGGGAGGGCGGTGGTGACGAGGGATTTGGAGTAGAAGGTTTCGACCTAGGATGGGGTTAGTTGCTGGAGGGGAGAAGGAAGAAAGGGGGGAAGACCTACGGTATTATAAGGATGCGTAACATCGACCGTACCGCCGTAGGTATAGTAAGTAAACGCCCCCAGCCAATCGTACTGCTGTGCATTGCTCAAGCTCGCTCCCAGAGTGCTCAGCAACGGCTGCACAGCCGTCCTCAGCGCCGAGCTACTGCCATGGTACAAGCCCTGCAGTTGCGTCTGACTTGGCGAGCCGAAGACCCTCATGTTCATCTCCTTGGGCATATTGCCCGCCGCTAACCAATCCTGGAGTTTCCCCCAGCCGGATGCGATCGACGACGCTGAGTTCCAGGGCAAGTTAATCTGGAACGCCGTCACTTGCGAGGGCGCAGCGAAGGTGTTGAACTTGAAGGAAGCCACAATGCCAAAGTTGGACCCGGCGCCGCGCAAAGCCCAGAAGAGGTCCGGGTTCTCGGTGGGCGAGGCGGTTACCACGGTGCTGTTGGCCAGAACGACGGTGGCGGCGGCGATCCAGTCTACTGCAAGACCGTAGGTGTGCGAAGAGAAGCCGAAGCCGCCGTGGAGGGAGTGGCCTCCTACTCCGACTCTGTTTCCCTCATAGTTAGCACCGGACGGGCCGAGAAATAGGTGTACATGAGAAGAAAACGTACCCAGGACAAGTCCCATGCGAGAAACCCCTCTTGCCCTGTTTATACAGCTCCGTCGCCACATGCCCCAGTCTCGCTCCCGCTTGAACATCTGCGATATTTGTCGTCTTATCCAGCGTCACCTTCGACATGCGATCCAACTCCACGACCAGATGCCCGTTCTCTCCGCCCAGACCAAACGAGGCATAACTGTGCCCTCCTGACTTGGGGGTGACTTTGATTCCCAGCTTTGCGGCACAAGAGACGGCGCCTCGGATGTGTTCGACGGTGGTGGGGACGGCAATAGCTACCGGCGTGTAGGGAAGACGCTGGTTGAAGGGATTGACGTCGGCGCGCCAATCAGATGAGCCTTGCGCATCAGCCGGGACGCCGGCGGATTTGAGGCAGTCGTCGATGGCGGCGCGTTTGTTGAGAGGAGAGGTTAGTGGGTTGGCGAGGATGGGAGCTGCCGTGGCAGTAAGGAGGATGAGGGGGAGCCACATGGTAGACGATGTACTGGATCCGGGCGGAATCCTGTTCAGTGGGATGGGACGACCAGGTCTGGAGCCTGGAAAAGGACGGAGGGCAGTCCCGTAGACTTGATATAGCTTGGTCACAGCCTCATTGTGTCGAACTGGTCATGAAGGGCATTGACCTACCGGAGCTGTTTCTGCTTTTTCCCGTTGTGGCACCCACGAGACTTCAGGAAATGGAACTGACACCAGTCCCTTCCAACTTCCACGCCTGGGGATATTGAATTGCGGGGGTGATAATGCGGGAACACGGCATCAAGCCCCCCGGGGATTAATCACTGAGCCGTCTCGGCCGTCTTTGACTTTGTGGGGAGCATGATGCGGAGGGTGACCAAATCTTCGGGATGCGGAGGATTGTGTTACTGTAGGAAGTCGTTGCAGATCAGAGACTCGGAGGTGAGCAGGATGTGGAAGTTCGCCAGTGATTGGTCCGGCTAACATATCAGCCTACAGACGCTTCCTTCACATATGCCAAGAGTGATGAGCTTGTTCAGCAGTCATCCCAAGCTCTGGGCACCTTGGCGGCTTGGCCTGATGAGGTTGAAACAAGAGTTTGTATGGACCATGGATGAAGCAGACGCATCGGAACTTGTTGATCCGGCTCTGCTCCCTGTCGACGATTCTTGGCGAGATCTGGGCGAGAGCGACTAGAGCTACTAGAGAGATGTCAGCCCTGCAATGGGCATCCTTTGACGGTAGAACCAGCCGCGGAGCCGCTCGTTGTTTTAGAAGCCGATCGGGAACGATGGTATTTGCTGTCAGATTTTGCTTAGGCTAAAGTGTAGCCGTTACCCGTGTTGTCGCTATTCAGGCCCGGCCAGAACACACCACACGGAACGCTCTTGTAAAGTGGTCTCTCTGCCCCAGATTGCAAGCAATATCGATGTTGGTATTGGATGTTGTGCTTTCGACTGCCACCCTCTGCGAAGTGGTCATGTGCCTCTTTTGTGGTGCGATGGTCCTACAGAAATCATGCCAGAACTTTGCCTCAAGGACGCTTTGTGCCATTTAGAAGGGACAAGAAGACTTGGGTTGATGCAGTCGACGATTGCTGACTTTTGCCTGTTCATGATAACCGGGCTAAGGGATAGCAACGGAGTGTACCCTCGCGGTCCTGATCGAGATCGATCCTGTGTCATCACGAACGTCGGCACTAAGAGTAAGAAACGGGATGGAAGAACGAATCTCAATTGTAGCTCGTTAGCCTCAGATCCGGCACACACAGCGGACTCAAATTTGCTGTGTCTTCAGAGCACGCCACAACCTCCAAGGAAGCTTCCAGCTCGCCTTGACCTTGAACGGGTCAAAGTCAACCTTCTCCAACCGTTCCAAGTAATCGGCAGCCGGCACTGCTTCCAGCAGCACCCCAAACCCCCTCTTGATATCGGCTTGTGTTGTGTCAGTTCCGCCGCTCGAGTAGGCATGCTCCTGTTCTCCCTCATGTTCATAATCATGTCCCACCTCTTCCCCAGCCTTCAAGTTCTTCAACATCTCTCTCGCCGTGATTAAGTGGTCATTGGCCCTCGTAGCGACCTTGAACACGGCATCCTGTAGTCCCTCGGCGTTGGGTCCGCGGCGGAAGACGTCCTCCTCTCTAACTCCCACCTCGGCCATCACATCGAGGGGTAGTAACAGGGCAGGAGGCCGGGTATTGCCCACGCTCCCCGCCGGACCCTGAATAGGCTGCGACGGAGCGGCCAGAACGGGAATACCGCGTAGTGTGGCTACAATACCGCACGCCTTGCCGATGTGACTAGCTAGATGATCCATGTGTACCGATCGCAGAGGCATGGAAGCGAGGGTCATGTACATCAGCGTCGCGTAAGTGTTCTCGGCGTAGTCCTCCAGCGAAGTAAGGCTGACAAACGGCCTGTTTTCCATGTGTTGCTCGCGCGTGTTGATCAGGCGTAGGAGCCAGAACTTGAGAGAGCTGGCACTGCTGGGGCCGGCGCGGGCTTTGAGGTCTTGGATGGCTTGGTGGAGGAGGATGGAAATGGGCTCGCGTGGGGGGTTGCCGGCGAAGACGCTGTTCACGGTTTCCCGCCAGAAGGACATGCGCATACGTGCGATGGTCGGGTTGGAGACGGTCTCGGGGAGGCGGGCGAGTTCGAGGTTCAATGTACGGAGAGCATTGTAGGCGTTCCGGGAGGAAGAAGGGACGAATTGTCGGAGGAGGAAGGCTTCGTAGTCGCCATGTCTGGGGGAGAGAAGAGTTAGCGGATGAATGCCTATGGGACGAGAGGACAGGGACAGACTTGAACTGGTTCTCACAGTACTGACGGGCCTTCTCGACGTCGACGTCAGTGATGGTCGCGAGGCTTCGTCCGGGGAGGCAAGGCTTGAACGGGTGAGGCTGGAGACGAAGACGCGGCCGTAGAGGTGCCCGCCTCAGGCCATGGCTAACTGATCGAGAGGATATCATGGCAGAAGAAGCGGTACTGTTTTCCCCGCTGTTACAACAAAGGTCACATCTCTGTAACGAGAGACAAGACAACCTCGGCAGCGGGAGGAAGACAGGCCGACGACGACATTGATTCGACAATTGGACGATGTCACGCCGTGCCCCTCAGCATCACAGCGCTATGATTTAGCGGATGTTAGGTTAGTAGCTCCAGACCCTTTATGGTTAGCAATGATGGCATTAAATGGCCTAGGTGGCCCAAGCTCCTTGTCCTTTGAAGTGGCGCGTAATCACCTGACAGCGGGAAGGTGGGAACAATGACACGCCAGAATTCACGGGTTGCCACAGCACAGTCGCGTCTCCCGGCGCAACACCCGATGTATTCGGTTACAGTTGCTGACTGAATTGCTTCGTCACTGTTTGATATTGTACACCAGCGGCACCTAATCAGCAGTCTACTATCGGTTCTTAAGCTGTCCCCATGGGCTGAACAACACCTTCAACAACTGGAAACACAAGGGACACCATGGACTTCACCAACGAGCCCCCCTCCAAGAAGCGCCGGTTCATGGCCGACCAAGTTGACTCGGACGATGTCGTTGCCGGCCCCAGCTCGTCTCCTCAATTCAGTGCTCCGCCGAGTTCACCACCCAGGAAGAAACTCCTTCAAGATCCAAACGAAGAAGTAAAGTCACGAATCTCCAAAGATGCGGACGACGACGAGGAACCCCCGAGATTCTTCACAGACGATGGCACATTAACGCCCCATGCTATGAAGCTATGTGCTCCCTTTCTCGACGAAATGCAAAAGCCAGATCCCAGGAGAGGATATGTCTTGAAAGATATCGATACTCCAGTCGCGACACCGCAAGATGTGACACCCCCAGTGGTCGAGTCCCCCCAGCTGGCGTTCGACAAAGATACATTCGAAGCCTTTGTTGGCGAAAAAGTTGCGACCGATGTCCTCCAAGTCATAAGCAAGAACTGCGGCAACGATATCGAAAGAGCTGTCAATATGTACCTGGATGGAACATGGAAGAAGCTACACCGGGCGCCTCCAGTCAGGGTCAACTCGCATTCGCCCCTGATTGTAGTAGGTCAGTCTCCGAAGAAAGCATCGACACCACACGCACGATTGCGGTCGCAAGCTCAAGCCCAACCACAAACACAATCGAGAACACAAGCAGGGGAGCCCAAGGTTCTCCCATCAATGCCAGAGGCCCGCTATGTCGGCGCATTTGGTGTTGAGGGATGGGCTACAAGGAGCGGGACAGGCCTCATTAGACACGGTGATATTGTCAAGATTGAGCGCCAAAAGATCCAACCACCCACCGTCGCAAGGAAAGGGCAAATCAAGCCTGGGACCCCGCAGTCCATGCCACGAGTTAGCGCGGCAGCTGCCAAACGTGTCGATGTGATAGTCCGTTTCACCGACGCCAGCGGCAGAGAACTTGGTCGTCTAGCCAAAGACACAGCCAACTGGGTGTCAACACTGATAGACCAGAACATCTGCAGGTTCGAAGGCATTTGCGTCTATGCGCCCGAGCGTCTACGAACGAACGAGACCGTCTTTTTACAACTCAAGTGCTACATGCTCCGAGCAGCCTTCTTCGGGAGAACCTTCCAACTAGCCGACAACAGGGCCGCCGGGTTTCACGAGAAAGACGAGACAACAGAAGAGAAGGACCTCCGATTGAGGCAAGTTGCGCTTGTGAGACTGTTCCAAGAGATCAATATGGTCCCCTCTCGAGGAAATGCCGCTGCCGCCAAAGACGCCAGGAAAGACCTGCTTGAAGCAGCAGATTCTGCCGAGAAGAAGGCGATGGACAAGGCCAAGGCCGGGGACAACAATAACGGGTCAGCTTCTCCCTCAGAAGAGGCCGAAGAGGGCCAGGAGCTCGAACAAGACCAACTCGATGCGCTTTACAAGAAGGCCCAGTCGTTCGACTTTAGCACCCCCGAGGCTGAACCAGCTGACACCTTCGCCATGGCCTTGCGTCCATACCAGAAGCAATCGCTGTACTGGATGCTGGCCAAGGAGAAGAACCAGCGAACAGAAGGCCGCGAAACATCCATGCACCCCTTATGGGAAGAGTATACCTGGCCGATCAAGGACCATGACGACAAGGACCTACCTGTGGTTCCTGGCCAACCCTGCTTCTACGTCAACCCGTACTCTGGCGATCTGTCTCTTGACTTCCCCAAGCAAGAGCAGCACTGTCTTGGTGGAATCTTGGCTGATGAGATGGGCCTTGGTACGTCTGCCTTTGTCCTTATCTCGGTTTTGGCATTGATCTCAGCTAACAGTCGTGTAATACAGGCAAAACCATCCAAATGCTTTCCCTGATCCATTCGCACAGATCCGAAGTAGCCATTAGGGCTCGAGAGGCTGGTCCTACCTCCGTCAACAACCTCCCACGTCTACCAGCAGTCTCTGGACAGAAGACTACAGTTGACGCTCCATGTACAACACTTGTCGTTGCCCCCATGTCCTTGCTAGCGCAATGGCAAAGCGAAGCTGAGAATGCTTCGAAGGAGGGCACCATCAAGACCATGATGTACTACGGGGCGGAGAAGAATGTCGATCTACTGACCTTGTGCTGCGAAGCCAACGCGGCCAACGCTCCAGACGTGATCATCACCAGCTATGGAGTCGTCCTCTCCGAGTTTACCCAATTCACTACCAAGAATGGAGACAGACTCAACAGCCGCGGTCTCTTCTCCCTCAACTTCTTCCGCGTCATCCTGGACGAAGCACATAATATCAAGAACCGCCAAGCCAAGACTTCCCGAGCTTGTTACGAAATCGCCGCCGAACACCGCTGGGTCCTCACCGGAACCCCCATCGTCAACCGCCTCGAAGACCTCTTCAGCCTTGTCCGCTTCCTGCGAGTCGAGCCATGGAACAACTTTTCCTTCTGGCGGACCTTCATTACCGTCCCCTTTGAGTCCAAGAACTTTGTACGCGCGTTAGACGTCGTCCAAACCGTCCTCGAACCGCTCGTCATGCGTCGCACCAAAGACATGAAGACCCCTGACGGCCAATTCCTTGTTCCACTTCCGCCCAAACACATCGAGATCGTCGACATCGAGCTCTCCGAGCCTGAGAGGGCAGTCTACGACTACGTCTTTAACCGCGCCAAGCGGACGTTCTTCGATAACATGCAGGCCGGCACAGTGATGAAAGCTTTCACATCCATCTTTGCGCAGATCTTGCGGCTCCGTCAATCGTGCTGTCACCCTTTGCTGGTCCGCAACCAGGAGATCCTCGCTGATGAGGAGGAAGTCAATATGGCCGCTGACGTCGCGGCAGGATTAGCAGACGACATGGACCTCCAATCTCTCATCGAGCGCTTCACCGCCACCACAGACGACGCCTCAAAAACCAACAACTTCGGCGCCCACGTTCTCAAGCAGATCCGGGACGAAGCAGTCAACGAATGCCCCATCTGCGCCGAAGAGCCAATGATCGACCAGGCCGTGACAGGATGCTGGCACTCTGCGTGCAAGAAATGTCTGCTCGATTACATCAAACACCAAACCGACCGTAACGAGGTACCACGGTGTTTCCAGTGTCGCGAGCACATCAACATCCGCGACATCTTCGAAGTCATCCGCCACGATGATGACCCGGAGACACCCTCTACTCCGGGCGCAAGTCCCGAACCACGAATCAGCCTCCAACGCGTCGGGGCCAATGACTCCAGCGCCAAAATCGTCGCTCTAATCTCCCACCTCCGCGCCTTGCGCCAGGAGCACCCGAAAATGAAATCCCTAGTAATTTCCCAGTTCACATCCTTCCTCACTCTAATCTCCTCCGCCCTCACGCGACACAAAATCTCCTTCCTCCGGCTGGACGGGTCCATGTCCCAGAAGGCCCGCGCCGCCGTGCTTTCCGAGTTTCAATCTACCAACAAGTTCTGCGTCCTCTTGCTGAGTCTAAAAGCGGGAGGTGTTGGGTTGAACTTGACAAGTGCGAAGAGGGTGTACATGATGGACCCGTGGTGGTCCTTCGCGGTAGAGGCGCAGGCGATTGATCGTGTCCATCGCATGGGGCAGGAGGATGAGGTGAGGGTTTATCGGTTTATTGTGAAACAGAGTGTGGAAATGAGGATGTTGCGGGTGCAGGAGAGGAAGAAGTTTATGTGAGTTTGTCCCGTTTCCGTGACTTGATGAGGGGAAGGGGTTAAAATACTGACCTGACTGCAGAGCAACATCGCTGGGGATGATGTCCGACGAAGAGAAGAAGATGCAGAGGATCGAGGATATCAAGGAGCTGTTGAGCTCGGATTGAGCGCATCGATACCCAAGGTATATCTACCTTGTCGTCGTCAGTATAGAGCAGCATCCCAGGAGCATAGGGGTCATCGCATTGGGTGTCTTGGAGTATATTGTTTTGGTCATGGTTTATCCGTTCAGTTCGGGTCTGGCCCTGGTGTAGGTAATTGGATGCTATCGGGCAAGTGGTACGAGTCGCAGGTGGAAAAAAAAGAAGGGAGTCGCTGAGGGGCGTAAGTCCCGGAAGATTCTACGGCAACAGCAAAGCATTTGGACATATTTACACGCAAATCTACCTACATACCACCAGCATTTCTCAGGAGTTCACATCAGACATGAATTGGACGGTGGCATCTCCGTCGAACCGTCGGGCGTGGAGGTAAAAGGGAGCCACCCCACCATGGCACTTCAGTCATGCAGATCGAGAGGCCGAGAGCCACCGTCGAGTGTCGACGTCCGCAAACGACATATATGCATGCCGGCGGTCAGGGAAAACTGCACTTCGATTCATTTTCCGGCGTCCGATGTGCTTCTCGCATACGGATGAATCGTAAGCGAGGGCAGTTAACAAGTGCAGCTTAAAGCATAAGCGCCTCCGGTCAACACCGAGATGCGAGCCTCTAAGCCCGCCGGATGTCTTCGAAGAGGGTGTGTGGGAGACTGAGAGTTCCTTTGAAGCACCTACTGCCCGGAAAGTTCAATACCGACGGAAAACCATCACCCGTCATGTGCGAGACGTGGTGTGGGTGACGCACCAACAACACGCTCGACAGCCACGATGGCTTCTCCTCCTATGACCATTATCCCTCCTTTCCTACAAGGTATTGGAAGATGACCATGGATGGGGTAAGACCAACAACTCGACTTCATGTTCGAGGGGAATATTATGGGATCCCAGTGCAGATGGGCAAGGCAGCTGATAACATAAACGCAATCGACATGGAGAAAAGTCTGAGACACGCCACGCACGGCGCCACTAAAAAGTGAGCCAGGCCGTCAAGGTCCGCTTTCACTTGAAAGTATTCCCACGATGAGCAGTAGCTCATATCCTTGGAAAGTATGAATGCCATGATACCCAGCGCTTCGGTCGCGATCCAACGCAGCGTAATCCACCGCTAATGTACCTGTCTGACACCAACTGAGTGTTCACCACAAGCAATCAAAGAAACCAAACCACAGGACGAAGAATCTTCCAGCTGGCGTCCGGTGGCAAACCAAATCCAGCGGCGTTATAGATGAGGCGATTCCAGCTGTCCAGCTTGCTCAGCTACAACCGGCTTTCAGTTGCATCTCACTCGGCTCAGGCATAGTGCACCTTCGGGTCAATCACCCGTTGGCTGTCGTTGGCAAGCTTGTCCTGCTTGGCGGTCGTCGTTGGTGGCGGACGTCGGGTATCGTCGGTGGCTGAAAGAAACTTGATCTAGAAAACTTGTTCAGTATAACGTTGGATCGCGATGACCTTCGCTCCCAGCCATGGAAGGCGTGTAAGTTACGAATCGGGACACGAGCTCGTCTGCAGAAATGTCTCATGCTGGCGGTTGTCATGTGCGTGTAGGTACCTTGCAGTCGCAATGAAGTTGCGGTGTTCGGTTCGACGGTTGCGGTCTTGCGGCGGGCTTCCCTTGCGGCTCTGCGGCTTTTGCATCTGCGGCTTGCGGCTCAACGCCGACAGTGTCAGCACCTCCCATAGTGGCACTTGACAGGTTACAGGGTGGCACCTTACGATACCTACTACTGAGGACACAGGTAGCAGGTACCTACTGGCGGACAGCAGGTACATCTACAAAGGACTTGCAGGTACATTGGTAGGCATTGTAGGCACGGTGCCCAGAGGGATACAGTGGCAGGTTCCCCGCGTCTTGGTGCATGTACTTTTACCTCTCATCTTCATCCAGTCACACACGTGCACCTCGCTACCAACAGGTTGACAAAACCTCAGTCGATCCTCATTTTGCACACCTGGAATTCTGGAAACCGTGACAGCAAGTGAGCAGTTAGCGTAGCATCCAGGCCTTCTCGCTTGATGGAGATGGGTCTTTTGTTTTGTTGGCCCCTTTTCTTGCCCTGTTGCCATGTCAGGGACATCGGATGTCGTTGAAATCAATCGAAAATTGTGGGTTTTTGCTTGAGCCGAACACATGGACTTTTTTCGAGATCCTTTCGGTTACCCTCGGCTTAAACAAGCGCGCCCTTTTCACCCTTGCTGCACTAACAAAAACAAAAACACGGACCTCGCGAACGGCGACGGCGAGGAAGCCCCCTGAAATTATTCTTTTCCCTGCTCTGGTTCCTGATTCGTGAAACTTTCATTTAAAAAAAGGCTTGTTCGTCTCTGCCCTACCGCGCCCTACCGCGCCCTACCGAGCTGCCAACCGGACTGGGAACCCTCAACCCGTGCACTCGTTCCTGGCAGGGAGCTCGCAGCCCACGAAACAAAGCTGCTTTTTAGGGCCTGAAAAATCGTGTAAAAGTTGATTGTTTGAAAAGCCCAACGACGGGGCTGATCCACTGAAAAATCCACTTGTGCTGTTTCCTGAACTTTCAGCAACGGTGAGGGTCGCGGTGAGACAGGTCGTTGGAGCACCGTAGTAACGAGAACAGGGAGACGAACAGGGAGACGGTGGTCATCTGGTTTGAAGAGTTCTTTCTCACTTCCACTTTTGCGATTTTCGATCTCGATCGTGAATTTCGATTCGTAACGGGTTGTGGGTTTTGCTACATCCGTTGGTTTGTTTCGTCATTTCCATGTTTCGAATCTTTCAACAACAAGATGAACGACTGGTCCGAGTTTCCTACAAGTTCGTGATGTCTCACCATCTCATGCGCAAATCCGTTGCTCAAGCTTTTGAGCCTCAGGAGCTACAAGAGCCTCAATGCATCTCATCGGACAAGACCAAACCCTCCCGCGACGAGATCTTCACTTTCAAGCTTCTGCTTCACAGCTCAAGCCTCAACAGCGCCGCAAAGGCTACATGGCTAGTATGAAAATGCTACGTGGCTAATATAAACCCACTTTTATCGCTGAGTAAGCCCAGCCCAGCCGCCCAGCACACCGCGTGCAACTGAGGCCACATAATCGATGCCCGCGCATCGCCAAATCTACGCTGTTAGTGTCATTTTTTTATGTAAAGTTATTCAAAGTCATTAATCCAGTTAATTATCTACTATTGAGGCGGTTAATATTGTAGTTACTAGTAATACTACTATTCCCTATACTAGCCTTATTGCTGCATTTACTACTTAAAGTATACGTACCTACTCTAATTTTAATACTTGCTGTATAAGTACTATTAGGGAGGCAGTTAGAGATATGTCTTCCTACTCAAATCCCTTAGTACCTACCCTCCACCCTATATAAGTATTAGAGGTAGTATTATAGCTATAGGGATTTAGTTATATTATATTATTAGTATAATATAGTTTTGTAAATTATATTATAATTAATTAGATGGAAGAGGAGCGAGAAGGTCTAGGACTCTAGGAAGTGCCTAAGTAATAATAGAATTAATTGGCCTAGTATAATAATTTGCAATACGAATTATAAGAATTTCCCTTATTTCTAGCCGGGTAAGTATACAACCCTTAAATTTAGCTATATTTAGTACCCAATCCTTATATTAATTCTAGTAACTGCCTAAATTAAGGATAAGAAATTCTAATGGCCGCTTTTATTACTAAATTTAGGGATAAGGAGATGGAGAGGGCGCTAGAGCTCTCTATAAGAGAGTTAGAAGGTAAAAAGGTAAGGGCGAGGGAGTTGGAGTCGACCGCAGGGGTATTAGAGAGGGAATTAGAATTGGAATTAATTGTATTATAATTACTTTAACTATATTTGCAATCACCTCTATAATAGTACAATTTAAATTATTTTAAGTAATATTATTACAGGTATACAACGTCCTCTACGTACTCCCCCTTTATATACCCCCTCTCCTCCCTCCTTTCTATACCTTTTACTATATTACCCAGCGGGGCGGTTTATTGTAAGAGAATATACAGCGATTATTATACCGGTTGTAGTTAATAAGTATAGTAGTAGCGGGTGCGGTAGCAATAGGTTAAGTAAGGCCTTAATTACCCTTTAGATTTCGTAGCTTATAAATTTCCGGGTTTATAAAGTTTCGTTCCGATATTTTACGTATATAATTTATAAAATTTAGGTTAGGGATAACCGTTTACTTTCCGCGGCTAGGTAAGGTAGTAGGGTTTTAAATTATATAAGTACGCCGTTCAACCTCGGTTAACCTAGTACCGTTGTTTAATTTTAACTACTAGTACATATTTATATCCTCTATAGCCAATACTAATGGCGGATCTATTTATAATAGCTTTAATATAAAATATTTATATAGTAAGTTATACTAAATCGTAAATACCTTTTTATAGTTGGCATCTAGGTTTTAACGTAGATTTCTAAACTAATTATTATAAATATAGTAATATTAATACTATATAAGCTTGAAGGTATATAGCGCCACTTTTAATACCAAATAATTAAATATCCCTATTCTTTTATATTTTTATAAATACGTTTACTGCGCTATAGTATATCGTAATTTAAAGACTTCTCTTTAAGAGCAGCAAGTAGACTATATATATTCGTATAGTTGGTTTGAAGAGAAGAAAGTCTAACCGTATGGTCATTATTATCTATTCGTACGGTACCCCACGTTTTCGCTCATATATTTCCCTAACCTTCTCGCCCTTCTAATAGACTATATGTACCTTTTGATTCCAATAGTGCATTCGCAGCCTAGAATAGCGTATTCGCAACCCGGAATAGCGTATTAGCTCCTCCGACAATGTATTTAATCCCCCAACAGAAATTACATCGCATCCAATTGCATCGCATTCCATTGCATCGCATTCAAATTCACCGCATTCGTCTTTTTTCAATTGTCATTTTAAATCGCTGTTTCAATCGCTATTTCAATCTAATCGCTATTTCAATCGCTGTCTGAATCGTTATCTCAATCGCTTTTCAATTGGGAGTTGCGAATGCGCGGTCGGGCGAGCGAATAAGCTATTCCGGGTGAGCGAATAGGCTGTTCTGGGCTACGAATACGCTGTCGGGAGAGTAAATGCGTTGTTCTGGGCTGCGAATGCGTTGAGGTACTTTAACGAAAGGGGCGCGGCGATAGGGTTCGGGTTAGAAGTGAGGAAGAAAAGTGGGGTACCGTACGGATAGATAATAATAACCGTATGGTTAGACTTTCTCTTAAAGAGGAAAGACGGTTTTTAAGGAGGCGTTTAATAGCCCTATATACAAATTCGATTCTATTAGTTATCCTAATACTATAGTTCTTAAACTTCGAAA